CACCTCCGGTGAGGCACCGGAGAGCACCGATACATGCAATGCCCAAAATACCACTTTGCAAACTCTCTAGATCGAGGGTCCAGTGTCACCTCCGATGACGCACTAGACAACTCCGGTGAACCAAAGCGCTCAAATTGCAAGTTTGCAACATCTCTGGTAGAATATTCTGGTGACCACTACAGTGCCCACACCAAACGAACCCTGTGAGTCCTTTTGATTTTCCCTGTACGTGGCTAAACTTGCACCGGACGTCAATGTGTGTCCACTCTGATGCACAATAGAAATTAAGGTGCGCACGTGAAAATAGCCTGTATTACCGCACAATCCAAGCACTCCATTGGGACTTCGATGGCAAAATGGAGCACTCCTGTGAGTGCTAAACAGCACCACCGAGTGCCTTTCTCACCCAACTTCGCAAGTGTCTAACTCCAAAATATTTTGCCAAACATTGTAGCACTGAGTTAGCATTTTTCAAAGTGTTTTCAAAAATGTTTTCGATTGCTACTCACTACGTCACTATGTCTAATGCATATGCATGTAAATCAATACTTAGTGGCACTAGATAACTGCGTTTGCTTTTAGTATGACTATCTAGCCTAAACCTGACCACGCACTCTGTTGTGTCTTGGCCGGCGAAATAAAAAACCCTAGCATATATCTCTGCCTTCGGGCTTGTTTTCACCTCTTCATCTTCTCTCCAAGTGTGAGATTGTTTCATTTGGATTGATCGCCCTTCATCCATCCCCAAGCCTTGCTCATTACCTTGGTGTGGACTTCACCTAGCTTAATCAACACTTAGGCAAAAGGTTAATCCACTAGTTGTTACTCAATTACCAAAATAAAACATAGGGCTTTCAGACTTCACCATAATCTTTGGCATCTACATCAACATCATCTTCGTTAATACCTTTGGCACAAGGGGATTCGCTAACATCATCGGCGACTACAATGACTCGTCTCCGCTAACAATTCGGTACGAGGGGCTTTGCCAACATCTTCAGCGACTACAACGACTCGTCTCTGCCAACACTGCGGCAAGAGGGGCTTCACCATCATATTCGATCACTAGAATAGCTCAAAAGCCCCATCGACACCTTCGACATCAATGACTATGATGACTTGTCTTCATGTCGAGCTCTAGGGGCTACGTCAATATTCCTTCGGCACCAAGGTCTACTTCACCTTCATCGACCACTTTAGCTTGAGGGGTACACCAACAACTTTAGTTATGATAGCTAGGGGAGTATACTAGAGGACTGGCCACTCCAAAGGACGAAGTCTTTTGCCTAGCGCATGTGAGAGAAGATTTGGAGGCTTCACGGCAACCTTCGGCTACGACTACTTCAACTATGATGACAACACCCGTTCCTAAAAACAGGATGTGTCTTCAAGCAAAGAGCTACAGGCCGAGAAGGTCTGAGAGACAAGGATCTACGTGATGAGATGGTCCTAGAGATGAAGATCTGCATGTCGAGCAAAGCCTGCAGGCCTAGTCATGAAAACCGATTGGGGGAGCAAAAGCCCAAAGATGAAGATATCAGGAAAATCAACATCAAGGCACTTGGGGTTAGAAGCTTTGTGAGTTAGCACATGTATAGACTAGAGTCATTGGTGTTCTCCTTTCTTCATGCACCCTTTTTCCCTCAGGGTTTTTGGGGTGGAGTTTTTAGTGAGGCAAGCACATATAGGTTGCGAAGGGCGATCCTCATGATAAGGGTTCGAGTTGTATTTGTGCCTCTTCTGGTATGAGCATCTACTAGGTCAAGTAGTACCGCCCATAACGTAGTAGTTGAGGAGCTACTATTAGGGGAGCTCATGAAGCATATGGGATAGGCCACCCCTATATAAGTGCGCAAGGGCATGAAAGCAAGGGGCTCTCACAACCACTCTCATTTGCTTCCTCCTAAATGCTAGCTCTCACCTTTCCTCACCCGCTCTCATTATGTTGTGATGTTATAAATCGGCTAGTCTGTAAATCTAGCTATATCTATTAATAGCTTTCCATTTTTGTCTGTAATGATATTCACTTGTCCTCGTATTTAGTTTCCCCCTTTCAGAACAATGGTGTCCAGGCTAATTTGTGACAATGTGGACTCATGTATATATTTCTATGTTGTTATGTGGTATACGGCAATACGTAGTGTAATATCGATGCATATTAGTTACAACATAAGAAATAAAGAATAAAGTTTATTCTTTGATAGGATGGATCAGCTGAAAGCCATTATACTTACCCAAAATGTGTTATACTTAGATCGGGTTGTATTGCATTATAACCACTTGCAATTCTCATATTATATAACATCTCTGAAAAATCAGATTGAAAGCGAGATAATTCCATAAATTTAACATGGGTAACAATCTCATCACTAAGCTCAGGGGTGTGCAAGAGATGGTTGAGTGATCCCACAATTATCCTTATGTCATATAATTTAAAATCAGGTGCTTTATATTCAACCACAAATTGTTTAGTCTGCTCTAACTTCAACAACATTTGGGGTCATCTTTAACGAAGCCAAGGGTAAACAAAACCTGGTGCGCCTCACGTGAATTGTCAAAATACATCTATAGAGAGTATTATCTTTGACTTCAACAAAGAAAAAAGATGGATAATGAGTTGTAGAAGCATGTCTAGAGGACAAATATCTTATCTACTTTTAGTGAAAAAAAATCCTCAACATTAAAGAGTGCAAATACTAATGGTGTTTTTAGGAGAACCTTCTTCCCCTCAAAATGTTCAAAATGTGTAGATTCCATCATTTTGCTGCAAATAGAAGATATTAATCATGAAAAAGAAGAAACTCATGAAGAGGTTTCTCGTTGTACTTGACATAGCCACATCCAACGGGATCAAATCCCAAAGGCATGACTTGCAAAATCAGTATTGCATTGGGCAACTATTTGTGCCAGAAATGCATATCTCCAGCCGAGAAATTTTTCTTAAGAGTCTGATCGGGTTCATGTTCAGCAAAAATGTTGCGTGCACAAAGGACAAATTTCAGAAGCCTATACGCAGTGAATAACATTTGACTAATTCGAAACAAACCTAAACTTCTTCTGTATTGAAGGGTTGTAGGCATTTAATCTTATTCCCATCCAAGGAACCAACCTATAAATGATGCAAGATCGGTATTTTAGTGAAGTTCTAACACATTAGACATGATCTCTTTGATATGGGAACAATGGACAAGAACATGTAAGTCGTGGTTAGAATATCGATGATCGATAAGTTAGAGTTGGTATTTGACAAGAAGTACCTGATGATCAGGATGTGCTTCTGAGATGTGCGCAATATCGTCTCTTCCAAAGTCATGTTGGAGGCCAGTTGTGTCAGGGCAATCTCCACCTTTTCTTCCTTGAACCAACCTATAATTCTACGAAGAATGAAAATAACAAGTAAACCACATGAACATTTTCTTCACTGCCGGCTACTACATCCAACGTTGCAAAAAACATAGAATGGGCAGCAAAAAAATAGTACACTGGTAGGATTCAAAGTGACAGAAAACCAAGCAATGAACAAACTCTAATAAATTATGGAGGTTTTGACTTCTTTCCATTTTCTGCAGTATTTTCCTAAACAGAAAAATAGTAAACATCCACCTACCATGCTTCACAAGTTACAAGCTAAATTAAGTTATGAAAGACAACAAATCCGTAATTGGTCATATTTGTTATACCCTAATAGAAACCGACGAACCTAACTTGCCCACATGTACACCAAGCATCGACATGCACGCTTATAATTGTTCTAAGTTCCTGCCTTACGATTAATTTACCAACATAAAGATCCAGGCTCATGCGACCCTCGAATTGTTGCTCTAGAGTTCTTGTTGCACTGTTCGGTTTTTCCTCGAAACAAGCCGAAACATATTCAGGGCTAGGTACCTTGGAGCTTCTCTTTCAAGCCAGTTATGGTGTCAAAACCGAGTCTTTGCGCCATCACCCAAAGTTATTTTGATTGAGGAGTTGAAGAGGAGACGATCAACATCACTTCATGGAAGCTCTGAGTCGATCCATGGCTTGGATTCCTCCACCCATTCTTGCCAGAGCCAGCACAACCGGAGAGCTCTTCCAAATCTATCAAGGTTAGGCACACCTAAGCCACCAAGGTCTTTGGGTTTGGTAACTATTGGCCAGTTAACTAGGTAGTGTCCACCATTGGCATTCTCCTCCCCCTTCAACAAGAACGATCTCCTGATTTTGTCAATCTTCCTCCTAACCCATGCCGCCAAGGGAAACACTTTGAGGTGGTAGGTTGGCATGGAGGAGAGGACCGAAGTTACTAGAGTGAGGCGTCCCGCTTTGTTTAACCATCTTCCTTTCCATTTGGGTAACCTTTGTCCAATACGCTCAATGAAAGGTTGCACATGGACCTTTTGGAGCAATCTGGTGTGGAGTTGCAGCCCCAGATGGAATGGCAGCGTTGGGGCAGGAGGCCGGGATCTCCTCTTGCTCCATAGGGATCGGAGTGGGGAAGCCAACGAGGGTTTCGTCTGATGTGTTGCTCTCAGGGTTAACCTATAACAGCGTCTCCAGCAGAACTAGAACCCCATGGCAACAAGGGCCTCGTTTTGGCAACTCGTGGGTTGGAGACCTCAACAGTGTGAACAATTTATGAAGGTATATGTTTGCAGAGAGGACTGAAACCGCAATTCCTTCACTTTATTTGGGACCATTTATTATTGTTTTGCCTTACAAAGTTATGTATCTGAATACTCTACCAGTAAGGATATACATGAAACCCATTATCTTCAGGAACTACAGGGCAGCATGAGATATTTGTTCTCGCCAATAAGCGGGAAAAAAACATCTATATACTGTTTAAAAGTTCAGTCACCATTGCTTAGTGATAGAGCAGCTGCGACCTTGCACTTCAAGAATAGCGACGACCGTTCCGGTGCGTTATTGCCATCTCGCAGCCACGAACTTTTTATTCACGTGTACATCAGCTGCGACCGTCGCCGCCCAGCGTTATCGTCGTCGTCCTCGCCCTTTTGCTAGTTCTTGGATTTCAGCGCTGCCACCCTCTCCTCCGTGGCCTTGAGGGCTTCCCCATAGATGCTTACCAGCTGAAAAGGCAAAACCATGTTACTGGGTTACCACCAAGGCTTGAGGACAATGGACATACTGTGAATTACTGATGGCACACCTCATCTACTTCGTCGGGCGTCATGATCAGCGTCGGCGACATCATGATGGCATCGCCAGCAACCCTGACCAGCATGCCGCGCTTCTGGCACTCCTCTCCAAAGATCGCACCAACGCCTAAAAAAGTATCATCCCACATCACAGACCTTTAGTTTTCGGCAGATTCAGGTTGCGCTTTGGATCCAAGACAGTGGCATCTCTAGGCATCTTGGAACAGGATTAGTAAGCCTAACTCTCTGTTACATGCCATGCCATTGTGTACTATCTGCAACATCGACTTACCCCATTCGGCAGGGAATAGATCGGTCGGTGATTTGTTGTTGGTGAATTCGGTTCCCATAATCATCCCTAAGCCACGTATCTGAAGTTCAGGAGCACTGTAGTTATGTATTTGAACCGAGTGGTGGGTTTCGCGATTCAGAAATTCAGATGCGTACCTCCCCGATAATTGGACTGTCCGCCAACGCCCTAATTCCATCCTGGAACTTTGGAGCAATTTGCTTGACATGACCAGGAATATCCCTTTCGCTGATGCCATTTTTTGCAAATCATTCATCAGGAACAAATGATAAATAACTCAAATATGTGTTACAAAAGTGCAGCATATATTACCGATAAAGTTTCAGAGCTTCTATGGCCACAGCACAGGCAACTGGATGACCGGAGTATGTAAATCCATGAGCAAATGAACCTGTAAGACATGACATGTCAGCACATGCGGTGTTTCGGGAAAACTCACCACGTGCCAATGTAGAAACGTATAGTTGATCTCACAGAAATTGCAGTAACCTACCAAGCTTATTGCTCTGGGAATGAATCACATCTGATATCTCTGGGCTAACAAGAGTTGCCCCGATGGGTACATATGCATTTGAAAGAGCCTGTTACAGTAAAATTGGCATTAATCTCTATACATCAGAATGTCATATATATAAGCACTGTTTACATGTCTAGTGAGACTCAAAATTCACCTTGGCCAATGAAACTAGATCTGGCTTGATGTTATAATAATCACATCCAAACATAGTCCCCAACCTTCCAAATGCAGTGATAACCTAGAATGCATTATCAGTCAACAATATCTGCGCAAAAGTTATATTTTTTTCCTTCATATTTGACATTGTTTGATTTCATAGAAAGTGTTCAATACCTCATCTGCTATGAAAAGAATGTCATACTTCTTGACCACTGCTTGAACCTGTTGACAGAAAACAAAATGACACAGAATAAACATTAGGAACAAGAATTCAAGTCCTTGATGTAGGCCTTTGTTTAATACACCAACAATAGCAATTCACAAACAACACCACTACAATGAGATGAAGAAAAGAGGAGAGGCAAAGAGGGATGGGTGAATTAAGCAAATATACTTTCAGAGAAGTTCAGTTTGTTCATAGAAGAGCTATCAAAGTATTGGAACTCGTAGTATATAACCTTTTCAAAATAGGTCTTTGGAGGAGGGATGACACCACCAGCACCCATCACAGGTTCAGCAATGAAAGCAGCGATCTAATAAATCAAAGATACCACATAATTAGGGAGACATTAAGCTTTGAACCTATTGACAGCATACAAGCTTTGTTGATAAGAACTCTACTGTTTCTGGTCCTTCTTTGAGAATAAGATTCTCTAAATTGGTGGCAAGTCTAGTCGCAAATTCTTCTTCTGTCTCACCTGTTCCGCACCAAATAGTTTATTAGCAAAATATGCAGATCAATTATACAGCAATTTTTCTTTTTCGGAATTCATCTAGCAAAATTTTAAATCATATTACCAGGAAGATGATATCGCCAGTAGTGAGGGCAGTCAGTGTGCAGAACAAAAGGTGCTGGTAGATCAAACTTCTGGTGCAGGGCAGGAAGACTAAAGATAGAGTTGCAATCAGAAAACTATTGAAGATTATTTATGAGTGTCGTTGGACATGCTTTAAAGATGTATGCTGGCAAACCAGCATTTTTACTATGACAGTACTCACCCAGTTAGGCTCGCTGATATCAATGTAGATCCATGGTATCTGCAACACGTGTAACAAGCAGTAAGAAAGGAATCTCAAAAGCTTCCAGATTTTCATAGAATGGAACTTGACATCAGAGGACATTGCAATTTTTTATCTGGAACCAACGTTTATGACAATTGTTAACTGAAGAAGCACAAGAAGACCTTTCTTGTTTCAAGAACAAAATTTGATTACAGTAAAGCTTACGCTTTTGATCGTGCAATAAATTTCTTCTTGTTTGGCCTCCCCAATGCATTATTATAATACCATACTAGTTTGACCTGTAAAATATAAGCATCAGTAATGGACCTGTCAGAAACAAAACCATGTTTATATCAAAGAGAAGGAAAAAACACATTAAAATGCTAGAATAGAAATCTCAAGGTCTGCCAACTAGCTAGGTATATTTCAAAGAGAAATTGGGCCACAATCGACACATGAATACCATGATCAATGAACCAACAACCATTTTAATGAGAGAGCACATACATATTTCTTTAGCGATGTGCAAACACCATGTAAAATTCACTTTTAGTTTTGTGTTTAAGTTCTTTAAAGATGAGCGGTTGATGCAAAAATCACTACTTAAGTACTTTCAGTTATCTGCAGTAAAAGCAAAGAACAGTGACAGCAACACCATTGACGGTATTTCTTCTTAATATAATGTTACGCAGCTCTCCTACGTGTTCGACAAAAAAAAAACACCATTGATGGTACTAGGGGTCTGAACTGTAAACTGCAGAAAATGGAGGTGCTATTAATAGTCACACCTGAGAGTCATTTGCTTCCGAACCACTGTTTGTGAAGAAAACTTTTCCCATTTCCCTTGCAGTGAACATGCTAAGGATCTCCTGTGCAAGATCCTGAAAGCAGCAGTACAATTCCAATAATCAATTTTGGAAATTTGGCAAGTGATTTTTTAGAAAAGAAACTAGGACAGAGACAGCAATTTCAAAATTGAATAAACTAATAATTGACGAGTGATTCAAGAAAATGTACCAATGAAGGTTTGGTTGTGCGGTTCCAAAAGGAATGGTAGAAGGGTAATTTGTTTAATTGCTCAGTTGCTGCTTTGACTAATCGAGGCTCGCTACCACCTGAAGACAATGCACATAGATTATGCAGAAGTTTTTTTTCGAAAGGCGGCAAGAGATTTGCCGTATTTTTATTAGACAAGGGGATTATGCAGAAGTAACAGATGCAAAAACATTGGTAAAGCCACAGAAATAAATGGTGGTACATTATCACAAAGTCAAGTGCACATACCTAAAGCTGTGCACCATAATCCTGCAAGAGAATCCAGGTACTTGTTTCCATTAATGTCGTAAACATAGGAACCCTGCATAAACAAATAGTAAGCTAGACTGCAAAATAGTACATTCTGTAAATGTAAGATAGGTATATAAAACAGTCGGCGTTCTAAATCAACTTCTCCGCAATTGAACACTATATTTCAAGAGATGTAACAAAAATAATGCTAAAGCTCAGAGTTGCGACCTCAGATCTCTCAATAATTAGAGGATGCAAATCATTGCTCTGCCAGCCAGCTGTAAAAGGTGCCAACATGCCATGGCCCTTAAACCTGGAAGAATCACTTTGCGGATCAGCAATACGCAGTAGTTTACATGGTGTAACAGAAGTACAGAACACAACTGTGTGACAATTCCAGATAAGAGAAAAGAACTGCATACCCATTTTCTTCAGTTGAGGCAGACGGGGCAGATGGAGCTGAACTAAAATGTCTGACTGAGGCATCCAACAAACTATCCGCATGCCCTTGCAAACTTGCAGTGCCAGTTACATGCTTCAATAAGCTGCTTGCCTGTGGGGCAGGAAAAAGGATCGCATATGAGCTGCGACAATGGCCAAACTTTGGCAAGTGACGTCTGATGTCTGAACCACACAAATAGGTGGAATATTGATGTCATAGTACCTCAAGGCAGTATGTAATGTGCAGCACTGAATAAAGCATGGCACTTTGTGCATGAAAGTCAACTAAAGGAATGGCATATCCCGAATAAGGAACCCAGCTTTGCATCACATGGTGTCGGCACACAGGATCACCGGCTCAGGTGAGTTGACCACTCACCAGTCTTGCTGACCACGACAAACGTTGTCCGACCACACACTATGGCTAGAGGTAGAAGAAGAGAGGAGAACAGAGCATACACACAGCACAAGCACCAGCGTTGGCCGAAAAGCTCTGCAGAGGAGATGGCAAAACTGAACTCTCTCTTTACTGAGTTGCAGTGACAAACTATATATATAACTCTATCCATCTAGTCCTATTACAAATGCTATCTTTGCTACAAAGGATTAGATGAGACAAAGAGGGCTAACTCAAGGCGTCTGCCCTCTTTGTGCTACTAATTATGTGGCGGTGAGCCGTTCGGGCACCCCTCTCACACAACTCTGATTACAGTACCACGGTAGGGAGCCTTTTCGACGCCGCATTTCCCTATCGTGTGATCACATCAGAAAACATGTAGATTATCTAACACATGCTACTACGACACTAGGATTCGAAAAGATCGTTTCAGAATCCATGTACAGTATAGTCACACGTAATCGTAGGCATATGACAAAGGGGATTTAAGGTGGGAGCATACTACTCTACTAATTTTTTGTCTTTCGTCAGTCCGCGATTTTAAAATCAGGAATTCCTAAGGTATAATCTGATACCTCGACTTGGTTTCTGGGCCGATAAATCTAACTGATGCTGGTTTATTATGAGAGAGCTGGCTACCGAGCCCTGACTGAAACCTAATAGGCTGAAGAACTGAAGCCGTACAATTTATCGTACTCTTTTCCAAGAAAACGTGAGAAGGGGCGCGACCAGAAGACTACTACTTTGCAACCAAAAAAGCATATTATCCATCCAATAGCAGCCACACGAAGTCCTCACTTTCCCTGAAGCGGCGAACGCCGATGATTCCTATCCAAAACAAGGTTTTCTTCCACTCAGGCGATGAGAGCCTGTGAAATTCTGCCCACTGTACCCGAGAAAGAAGCCATCTTTTGCATGCATCTACTAGGAGCGTAGGACACAAGGTACATGGATAGTCTTCACCTGGGCGGGGGCATTGGATCGGAGCAGGCGTCGCGCGATCATCATCTCTCCCCGAGACGGAGGCGGGGACGGACGCCGGCACCCTAACGAGTTGCTGGAGGCAGGCAGAGGCAGAAGAGGAAGAGCGCGAGAAGCGAGGGCCCGAGGGGGCACGGAGAGACTTGTAGGCAGGCCGAGGAGGAAGGCGAAGTTCGCGGAGGAAGACGTGCCCAATTTTGTCCAGGGAATCTCTCCCCGTGCTCCGCTCTGATAACGGCGAATCTGGACGAGGGAGGAGGCACGCACGCGTAGGGTGATTGATGTGATTTCTTTTATCTTTTAGGCCTCGTTTAGATTTCAAGTTTTATCACTGTCTCTTCATCACATCAAATCTTTATACATGTATTAAATATAGATAAAAAATAACCAGCGACATCTCTCGGGTCAAATACAAACGAAAGTCTTATAATCTTAAAATATTGATTTCTAACTATAAACAAGGCCTTATTCAAGTTTTTCCAGCGACATCTCTCGGGTCGGGTGTCAGTCGGGCCACGTGTGAGCAAAGTACTCCTTATTTTTTTTATCGGGATTTAGCGAGGGGATTAGCGATGAGAGAATCGTTTCGATTCCAAGATCGATCGATACTTGTTTTGTTAGTCCAGCCATCGCCATCGTTTTCTCCAAAATAGCACAAGCCCATACGGATACGGCAGAGGAATGGGCGGAGGAGAGGCAACAAGATCGAGCTCGCTTGCCACGACGAACTGGTTGCAGCTTCGCAGTCGCAGGTGCTGCGAGTGCCGTTGTCCTGCGGCTGCGTCCAAGGCCGAGGAGGTGTGAAAGAGAAAGAGATGGTGGCGCGCCACGGGGTAAAGTCAAAGGTGATGCCCGATCGATTGGCTCCTTGTCTACTACTCCTACTACTGATGAACTCCCAACCACAGCTGTCAGCTACAGCTGGTCAGCTGCGTTTCGGCTTCATTTGCGTCATCGGAACTTTTTCGTCACGTGGCCGAGTCACGGGGTGACCTGGTGACTAGAGTGCGATGCGGACAAAGCACGGGCCCGGCTCTTGTTTTTCAATCATTTTTTCTTCTCGTCATCAGATCATAAATCGAACAGCAGTTCGACTCCAGTACAGGAAACAAGGGGAAGGTGCTGTTAATTAAAGCATCTGGAGCAAATTGAAACAAAATTAGTTCCCTCAACTAGTTTTACTCATTTGAGAGAAGATTTCCTATAAAAAAAAACCGGTGCTCTTCTCTGTCAAATTCCCGAAAGACGCTACCTTGTGATCTCTCTCTCCCCCCACAGAGTTCTCGTTTGGGTCCATGAACTCCGAAAGTGATTACCTGGACGTGAATTCAGATCCACGTTCACGATCTCATACAAGAAAGTGAGAAAAGTTGTCCCACGACACATGGACTTCGTATGAAAATATGAGAATGTCCATCACCCGCTGCTCTAGAATGTTTTTTCCGGACATATGTGCACTTGTGCAGTAGCACGACCAAAGGGTGGACCTCAGAAAGGAACACTGAACTTGCTAGTCTCTACTGAACTACTGAAAAGGGGTACTGAACTGATGAGTTTAATCTGATGAGAAAAGGAGCACTGAACTGAATTCCTAGATGGTTCTTATCTTTGCTTTGTATAGTACTAGATAAGTTGACAATGTACTCATACCCCTACGCTTGTCCTTCAATTATGTTTGATCACACCAGTAGTTTTGTTGTAGCTTGTGTATTGACTGGCTGCATGTGTGAACTTGTATGAACATTTAGATTAGTTTATAACAACGCTATTAAATACCATTATATTAATGGTTGGAACAAATTTTCATTTGTGTTCATCTTATTATGCATAATCTCAAAGAAGCAACAAGATGTATGTCGCGGAAATCTTATCCATGCTTGATCATTGACGTGCATTTAGCATTTTGCAGGCAATGCAACCAAATAAATAACACGGTTCCTTAAAAAAACAAATAACCCAATAATTTAATTTAACCTTGCGAGCTTGATGTGGCAGACACACTTGCAGCCAATAGCTGTCTACAGAGGATTACTGAGTTGGCTACTGCTGGAAATAGCAGCAACAGGAATTGATTTATTTTTTTTAACGCTGAAAGGATCAAGATGTTCAAGAGTGGGTGAATTGGGCTAATTCTAAATTTTCTTGCAATAATCTAATCCTACGAATAGCCCAATTAACCCTTTGTGCCTAAAAAAGTATTTCTATCAAATTAACGCACAAAAGACTTACAACCTATGTTCCAAACTTACTCTAGCATGTTAATTCTATGAATGTAAAGACAAGTATTGAATTGCTCAAAGTAAATACTTAAAGTAAATGCTCAAGGTAAATGGAGAGAGGAACGCGGCGATGTTTTGCCGAGGTATCAGAGAGTCGTCACTCCCCACTAGTCCTCGTTAGAGCACCCGCGCAAGGGTGTAGCTCCCCCTTATCCGCGCAAGGATCAAGTGCTCTCTACGGGTTGATTCTTCGACACTCCGTCGCGGCGAATCACCCAAAGCCGCTCACAACTTGAGTCGGGTCACCCACAGTATCCACCGGGTGATCACTAAGCTCCCAATCACCACCAAGCCGTCTAGCTAATGACGATCACCAAGAGTAACAAGCACGAACTCTCACTTGACCATGCGAAGCCTAATGAGAAGATGGATGCACACTTGACTACTCTTGATTCACTAATGAGGCTACTCTCTTGGATTCTCAAATCTCAATTACCTCACTAGAACCTTGCTCTTCTTGGCACTCACAAACGTGTTTCTCAGCTGTTGGAATGAGCAAAAGCGACCCCACACACGAGTGGAGCTTCTATTTATAAGGCAGCCTGAAAAACGAACCGTTATGAGCTTCTGCGGGGTGACCGGACGCTCCGGTCGTGTTGACCGGACGCTCCGGTCAGTTCAACCCACGAACCAGTAAAAATGTATTGACCGGACGCTGGCAGGGTCCGGTCAGCACTGACCGGACGCGTCCGGTCGCATAAAACCCTTACTGGAACCTTACTGGACTCGACCGGACGCTGAACCCTCAGGGTCCGGTCAGTACTGACCGGACGCGTTCGGTCGCAGATTCCCTTCACTGGAACCTTACTAGAGTCGACCGGACGCTGCATTTCAGCGTCCGGTCACTTGACCTCTCCAGCGTCCGGTCACACCGAACGCAGACGTTGATCAAATGAACTGACCAGACCCTGCGGCCAGCGTCCGGTGACATCGGGGCCAGCGTCCGGTCAGTGTTTGACCCTCCATTCACTTCCAACTTCCGAACATATGTGAATGAAGTTTACTCCAAATGATCTTAGGCATTCATAGGAGCTACCTAGAGCTAGTTTTGACAAGTGTGCACCACACCTAACTCACTAGACTCAACTAGGTCAAGCTACCCATCCATACCCCCCTTAATAGTACGGCCAAAGGAAAAACAAAGTTCTAAACTACTCTAAGTGTCTCACCAACTCCAATCGATACTTAGAACTAGTCATCCTTAACCTTGTTGTCCATCCTTTAAAAACCGAAACGATTTCCATCGTAGGGGCATGACAACTTTGATTGCCCAATCGTTCTTCGTTACCATGACCTAACTTAATTGCCTCTGCAAAACACACGTTAGTTATAGTAATCTTGTATTGTCATTAATCACCGAAACCCAACTAGGGGCCTAGATGCTTTCAATCTCTCCCTTTTTGGTGATTGATGACAATACCACCTCGAGTATGTGAAAGAGTGAGGTTTTTAACGGGCTTGGTTCATATAAGCTTTTGTCGATAAGAACAAAAGTGTTAATCAAGCTTACATGACCCAAGCCAACACAATGTACTCAAAGGATGTGAATTAAGCATGAGTACGATTAACAAAGCTCATTTGCATCGGAGTATAACCGTGGAAGCAAGGGCAAATGAACAATAACACAAGTGATATGACATATAAATAATGTAAAGTAGAGAGCACACATGTCATATATCACAATCACATAGATAACACTATCACATAGATAGAATAATATGCGTGAAAGTAAACACACGAATGCAAAAGTAATAGGGTATCACACAAATAAAACTCCAAATGTATATAATAAGCTAATACTATATAACTAGCTCCCCTAAATGTCGCTCCCCTCTCGAGGTCTACATACTCGAACCCTCTCCCCTTTGGCGTCCAAACACCAAAACCTAAGGGTTGGATCGGCGGGTCTGCAGCGACCCAGACCCGGCGCCGAGGTGTGAGGAGCAAGCCGAACTGAAAGTGCCATCATCATCGACCACGAGCTCTGAACCGATCGACCTACATGGCGGGGGAAGTGTCATTGAAGCGATGCAGGTCGGAGCTGACACAGTCTTTGTGAAAAGCCTTGCTGTACATCTATAGGATCTGATGATGCGACTGAGCTAGGAAGCCTCTTAGTAGTCACTACGACTGGAGCTGCTGTTGAAGGACCGGCGGCATGCATATGAGGTGGTGTGGGCATGCCGGTCAGGCTCACCGAAAGATGCTCAAGACTCCTGGAGACCGACGTGTCGAGCACAAATAGCGAGGAGACTCCTCCGGTGTGAAGCCCGTCTCAAGTGGAGTGAATCACGGGCTACCACGGTGAGGCTAACCATCGGGACACCTATACAAGAGGTGAAGCAAATGAGCCGGAGGCTCCCCCGACTCTGGAGCCCACCGGGTTGTCTTCTTTGAGTCGTCGGTGGTAGCAGTGAGCAAGCCGGGCGAAGGCAGTGGGCAGGGGCCCCAAGTCTTGTCACAACATGCCGCATGAAGCCCATAAGCCGCTTCTTTTTGCAATAGGATCTCGCCAGTGGTGCATCTGCTGCTGCTGCCTTCTTTGGAGTACCTATTTGTTGCCTCTGAAACTCATCTGACGAGCTCGAATCATGCAAAGTTGGCGGTGTCTCTCTGTGCTCGGCGAGCTGGTCCCACTGCATCCGCTCAAGTATGGCAATAAGAGCGGGTCCGTCTGAGGTGCGGTGGTCTTGAGCTAGAATCTGCAGCCTCTGCATCGTGTCTCACGTGGAGGCATCTCGAGGAATA